AAAAATGGCTAAAGGATGGTGTCATTGTTAAAGCTCCAGTCAACACGTCTTGGAATAGTCCTTTGACATTGGCTGATAAAAAGGATGCATACGGCAATAAAACGGGCAAAAGACCATGCCTTGATCCCCGTCATATAAACCGTTACCTGCCTGACGATCGATATCCATTGCCGCTCATTCGTGAAATCTTTCAAGATTTGGGTGGAGCAAAGGTATTCACTACTCTTGACTTGACGAACGCCTTTCACCGCTTTAAGATCAAAGAGGATGATCAGCATAAAACCACGTTCACTCACAATGGTCAACAATACATGTTCCAAGGGTGTCCATTTGGTTTAAAGCCAATCTCTTCTAAATTCCAGCGGGTAATGCATATCATTTTTAAAGACATGCCATTCGTGCGTACGTTTGTCGATGACATAGTGATCTTTTCCTCCGATATGGATACACATCGTGAACACGTGCAACAAGCTATACATGCGTTGACAGCTGCAAACCTTATTCTTAACCCAAACAAATGCCACTTTGCCCAAAAGAGCATATACTTACTAGGCTTCTGCATCAGTCACAATGGTATTAAACTCGATCCTCGTAAGGTCTCAAATGCCTTGACGTGGCCTATACCACAATGTGGCAAGGACATTCAAAGGTTCATGGGCATTGTTAACTACTTTAGGGGTCACATCCCTAATGTATCCCAAACAAGCGCTCCCCTTGAAGCTTTACGTGAAAAAGGGTCCTTGAGAGGTTACTGGACTCGTGACCATACGTTGCGCTTTAATAAGCTTAAAGAAGCCTTAGCTGCTAATGTCCCCTTGAAGTATCCCGATTTGAATGAGCCTTTTTATGTCGCCACAGATGCCTCTAATTATGGCATTGGAGCGGTCCTCTTTCAAATGAAGGACAACAAGGCACAATACGTTGGCTTTATGGCACGCTCACTAAGCAAATCCGAGCGCAACTACTCCACAACAAAGAGGGAGTTACTTGCTGTTATTTATGCTCTCGACAAATGCCATCAATTTCTTTGGGGAAATCCGTTCACTCTTTATACGGATCATAAAGCCCTCACGTATCTTCATACCCAAAAGATTGCCAATCGAATGATGATCAATTGGTTGGATACCATCCTTAACTACTCTTTCAGAGTGGTGCATCTCCCCGGTCTTAAGAATGTACTTCCTGATCGACTCTCTCGCTTGTTCACCCCAAGTGCACAGCTGGAGGGGGGTAAGGTTGCCCGCTCAAATAAACGAATTGCTGCTATCAAAAGCAGAAGAAGAAGAAGAAAGCAGCTCATTACTGCACCTTCACCCAAAATCCCAACCGATACATTGACTCCAACCACAGATGCTGACAAACAAAGTGATCTTGAAGATGCTCACTACCAAGTTGGCCATGCTGGGGCGGAGCACATTGTCAGGTACTTGCAACACACAAAAGGCGTACATTGGAATTCCATACTCCAGGATGCCGTTGAAATAGTAAAACGTTGTTCACAATGCCAAAAGTATAATATTGCGAAGAAGGGGTATAATCCTTTACGACCAATCTATGCTTATATACCAGGCGACCATTGGGCTGTTGACTTGGCTACATTCAATCAGACAACGCATTCTGGCAACAACTACTTACTTGTAATGGTAGACGTATGTACGAGATTCTGCATCCTACGCGCCTTGCCTAACAAGAAATCTGATACATTGGTTCATGCCTTCACGCAAATCTTTTGTGATTTCGGCCTACCTAAAGTCATCCAATCTGAGAACGGGGCTGAATTCAAGAATCACCTCATGAAGAAGCTTGTCGATAGCTTGGGAATTGAGCATAGGCTCACGACGCCTTATCATCCTCGAGCAAATGGCATAGCCGAACGTTGGGTGCAATCATCAACTCAAATCATCTGTAAAAGGATCGAAGGCTCTGGAAAAGACTGGGACTACTATGTTCCTAGCACACAGTTAGCACTCAATATGCGCGTTTCCAAACGACTGCAGTGCCCACCTTTTTCCTTAATGTTCGCACCTAACGTCAATGAGTTTCGCGATTACCGGCAAGAGGACTCCACAAATGTCAAGCCGATGTCGTATGAGCAATTGGTTGAGCGTATCGAGCATATGCAAAAGGTCGTGTTTCCAGCACTCAAAGAAAGAACCATGTTGTATATAAACTTGCAAAAGAGAAAGCTTGACAAAAAGCACCGCCTCATTAACTTCCCTGAGCAAAGTCACGTCATGGCACGGGTACAAACACGTGGTAGCAAACTCGCACCTGTATACGAGGGGCCCTACACAGTCTTGCGCAAGACGCAAGGTGGCTCTTACATCTTGCAGGATGAAACGGGTTCATTAATGCCTCGAGATTATGCACCATCAGAATTAAAGCTCATCTCTCAAGATGAAGTTATACCCGCTGATGAATTATACGAGGTACAAGCCATCATCAATCATCGTGGCAAACCGAACAAACGTGAGTATCTTGTACGCTGGAAGGGTTATGGCCCTGAAGATGATACTTGGCTTACACCCGATAAGTTCACCGACCCTGATTTCATCATGCAGTATTGGAATAGGCTGGGTCAAAAAGATGATGATCAAAGTCAGCATCATGCCGATAATACATCTTCAAAGCGTAAAGCCACAGGCAACCATACTACCACTCGACGTAGCAAACGCCTTAGAAAGTAATCAACTTAAATGTTGTATACATAAACGTGCAGGCAATGTCTTTTCCCTTATTTTTTCCCACTGGGTTTTTGCACGGGTTTTTATGACGGCGCCATTCATGCACATCCATCTTCAATTTGTGTTACCCACATCCATTTCATGTTGCTCACAATACATTCCACAATACATCCTACACCATACCACCACTAATCCTTCCCACGTTTGTTCCAAACTGGAGGGGGGTAATGTGATATTATGGATATTGAATAATAAAAGGATGAATGTTTTCCCTTAAGGAATACATGAGAATGACCTAGAAGTGACTGAAACCGATTAAGTAACTAAAGGAACCACCTCGAATCCAGTGAAACATCCGACTAGCGTAGCTGTCATATAATGCAAAAGTTGAATTTTGTTCCCAAAAAGAGCTGGATTTGAAATTGACTTGCAGCATTTGACTTGAGTGAGCCCACCCAGCTACTTACCCAACACCTCTTCTTTACCGATTCAACCCATCTCCA